GAGAGATCCATGCAGCTATACATCTAAAGGTGGGTGGACTGGACCCCTGGGAAGCAGTGGAACTATGGGAGTGCCCCCCCTCCCCTGGCGGCAGCGATCCAGGGCGCAGATCCTCATGCAGCAGCCAGCATGACTGTGAGTGGAGGCGGGGGCAGCCTGGCCCGCATGCCAATGCCTGCGCAGTGGCGGTGGCCCCACCTGCGACAGTCAGCGGAGCAGCGGCAGTGGCCCAACCCTCACAACTACAAGCAGAGGGGGTGGGAGTGGAAAACACAGCCCCTGCCCCAGCAGCGGCAAGTGTTATCTGTGACCGGAAGCATCAGGAACCACAGCAGAACCTGTGACCCAGCCCCTAGTGGTGGCAACCCTGACACCAACTCCACCACTAGCAAGGGCTGCATACAAGGCCCTGTGTCCCTGGGCCCCCACCAGTGACAGTAACACCCATGAACTCAGCACCCCTAGACAACCTGGGAACAGCAGTGCAGGTGGTGCAAGGGACAGCACCATCCAAGCACACAGAGAGCCAGTAGAGGAACACGAGATCCAGGTGACCCCACAGAAGCAGAAGTGCTTGCAGCCCGGTGACGCCAGTGGCATCATGAGAGACTGCAGTGACATCTAAGTAGCAAGGCATCAGCAACCCCAGAGGCACAAGTGGCACAAGGAGGGCACTGACAACACTTCTGGCAGAGGCACTGGAGGGTGGAAAGTGCAGGCTCTCAAACACACCCAGAAGCAGCACAGAACCAAAGTAACCAAAGCCGTACCCAAATAAGAAAGGTGGTTACTACCACAAATGTGCAGACAGAGGATCAAATCATCCAACACCATGAATAAGTACGGTAACACGGTAGAACAGAAGGAAAATGACAGCTCTCCAGAAACCAAATGTGAAGTCACAGAAGATTAGATCTAACTGACAGAGAATTATAAATAACTGTCAGAAAGAAACTCAATGAATTACAAGAAAACTCAGAAAGACAGTTCAATGAGCCCAGGAATAAAATTAGTGAACAGAAGGAATACTTTGCCAAAGAGATTGAAGATCTAAAAAAAAAAAACCAAACGGAAATACTGGAGATGAACAACACAATTAATGAGATAAACACTAATATAGAAAGCATTAAAAATAGAGCAGACCTTATGGAGGAGAGCATTAGTGAGCTTGAAGATAGAAACCTAGAAATGATTCAGTGGAGGACAAGAGAGAACTAAGATTTTTTAAAAAATGAAGAAATTCTTCAAGAAATATCTGACTCAAATAGGAAAAGTAATATAAGGATTATAGCTTCCCCAGAGGGAGAAGTGAGGGAAAAACAAGAAATAATAGCTGAGAGTTTCCCAAACATGGGGAAGGAACTGGACAGGCAAGTACATAAAGCTAAAAGAACTCCTAATAACATCAATGCAAAAAAGACCTTCTCCAAGGCATATAACACTAAAACTGTCAAAAGTCAATGACAAAGAAAAAGTATTAAGGGCAGCAGAGAGAAGAAAATAACCTAAAAGGAACCCCCAACAGACTTTCAGCAGACTTCTCAGCAGAAACCTTACAGGCTAGGAGAGAGTGGAATGACATATTCAAAATACTGAAAGACAAAAAACTATCAGCCAAGAATATTCTATCCAGCAAAATTATCCTTAGATAAGATGGAGAAATAAAACTTTCCCAGACGAACAAAAGCTGAGGGAGTTCATCATCACTAGACATGCCTTACAAGAAATGTTGAAAGGAGCCCTCATACCTGAAACAAAAAGGCAAAGGTTTACACAGTTTTGAGCAAGGAGATAAATAGACAGACAAAATCAGAAAATTGAAGTTCTATATCAGAATAGGTTAGCAAACACTTAATTATAACATAAAGGATAAAGAGAAAGAAAGCATCAAAAATAACTATAAACACTTCAATTTGCTCACAAACTCACAACACAAAAAAGAATAATTTGTGACAAAAGAAACATACAAGAAGAAGAGGAAAGGGACAGAACTGGCATAGGCTAATGGAGATACGAGGCTATCAGAAAAAGGACTATGTCATCTATGAGATCTTTTATACAAAGCTAATGGTAACCACTAAACAAAAAATCAAAGCAGAGTCACAAATCATAAATAAAGAGAAAACCATCACAGAAAACCACCAAACTGACATGGCAGACAGAAATACAAGGGGAAAGAAACAATGGAAATATACAACTTGAAAACAAAAGACAAAATGGCAATATTAAGCCCTCATATATCAATAATCATTCTTAATGTAAATGGAATGAATTCACCAATCAAAAGACCCAGAGTGGCTGGATGGATTAAAAAACAAGATTCAACAATATGTTGCCTCCAAGAAAGACATCTCAGCTTTAAAGACAAACATAGGCTCAGAGTGAAGGGATGGAAGATGACACACCAAGCATAAGGCAAGCAAAAGAAAGTGGGTGTAGCCATACTTACATCAGACAAAGCAGACTTCAAGATAAAAAAGATAACAAGAGACAAATTGGACATTATATAATGCAAAAAGGGACATTCCACCAAGAAGACATAACACTTATTAATATATATGCACCTAACACAGGAGCACCAAAGTATATAAAGCAACTACTAATAGACCTAACGGGAGAAATTGACAGCAACACAATAATAGTAGGGGACTTAACACCCAACTTATGTCAATGGATAGATCATCCAGACAGGTCAATAAGGAAACAGCGGCCTTAAATGAAACACTAGAACAGAAGGACTTAATATATATAGAACATTCCATCCAAAAACAGCAGAATACACATTCTTCTCAAGTGCAGATGGAACATTCTCAAAGACAGACCATATGCTGGAAACAAAGTAAGTCTCAATAAACTTAAGAAGACTGAAATCACACCAAATATCTTTTCCCACCACAATGCTATGAAACTAGAAATCAACTACAAGAAAAAAGATGGGAAAGTCACAAATATGTGGAGACTAAACAACATGTTACTGAACAACTATTGGATCAATGAAGAAATCAAAGGAGAAATCAAAAAATACCTGGGGACAAATGAAAATACAACATACCAAAACTTACGGGATGTGGCAAAAGTGGTACTAAGAGGGAAATTTATAGCAATACAGGCCTACCTCAACAAACAAGAAAGATCTCAAATAAGCAAGCTTAGCTTACACCTAAAAGAATCAGAAAGAGAAGAAAACAGAGGACAAGGTCAGTAAAGGAAGGAAATAATAAAAATCAGAGCAGAAATAAATGAAATAGAGACAAAAAAAAACAATAGAAAGGATCAATGAAACTTAGAGCTGGTGCATTGAGAACATAAACAAAATTGACAAACCTTTAGCCAGACTCACTAAGGAAAAAACAGAGAAGACTCAAATCAATAAAATCAGAAATGCAAGAGGAGAAATTACAACGGACACCACAGAAATACAAAGGATTATAAGAAAATACTATGGGGCTGGCTTGGTGGCATAGTGGTTAAGCTCATGCGCTCCACTTTGGTGGCCTGGGGTTCAGAGGTTTGGATCTGGCAGCAACCCACATACAAAAATAGAGGAGGATAGGCACGGATGTTAGCTCAGGGCCAATCTTCATCAGCAAAAAGAGGAAGATTGGCAACAGATATTAGCTCAGGGCCAATCTTCCTCACCAAAAAAAAATAATAAACAAAGTTTAAAAAAAAAAAGAGAGAATACTATGAAAAGCAATATGCCAAGAAATTGGATAACCTAGAAGAAATGGATAAATATTTAGAATCATAGAACCTCGCAAAACTGAACCAAGAAGAAATAGAGAATCTGAATAGACCAATCACAAGCAAAGAGATTGAAAGAGTAATCAAAAACCTCCCAAAAAATAAAAGTCCAGGACCAGATGGCTTCCCTGGTGAATTCTACCAAACATTCAAGAAGATTTAATTCCTATTCTTCTCAAACTATTCCAAAAAATTGAAGAGGACAGGAAACTTTCTAACTCATTTTATGAGGCCAACACTACCCCAATACCAAAACCAGACAAGGACAACACAAAGAAGGAAATTATAGGCCAATATTGCTGATGAACATAGATGCAAAAATCTTCAACAAAATATTAGCAAATCAAGTATGACAATACATTAAAAGGATTATAAACCACAATCAAGTGGGATTTATTCCAGAGATGCAGGGATGGTTCAACATCCACAAATCAATCAATGTGATATACCACATTAACAAAATGAAGAATAAAAATCACATGATCATCTCAATAGATGTAGAGAAAGCATTTGACAAGATGCAACACCCATTTAAGATAAAAACTCTCAATAAAATGGGTATAGAAGGGAAATATCTCAACATAATAAAGGCCATATATCACAAACCCACAGGCAACATCATACTCAACAGAGAAAAACTGAAAGCCATTCCTCTGAAAACAAAAACAAGACAAGCATGTCCACTCTCACCACTCTTATTCAACATAGTACTGGAGGTTTTCCCCAGAGCAATTAGGCAAGAAAAAGAAATAAAAGGGATCCAAATTGGAAAGGAAGAAATGAAACTCTCACTATCTGCAGATGACATAATTCTATATATAGAAAACTGTAAAGAATCCACTAAAAAACTATTAGAAAAATGAACCAATACAGTAAAGTTGCAGGATACAAAATCAACATACAAAAATCAGTTGTATTTCTATACACTAATAACAAACTAGCAGAAAGAGAAGTCAAGAACACAATCCCATTTACAATCACAATGAAAAGAATAAAATACCTAGGAATAAATTTAACCAAGGAGGTGAAAGACCTATACACTGAAAACAATAAGACATCATTGAAAGAAATCAAAGAAGACAAAAAGAAGTGGAGAGATATTCCATGCTCATGGATTGGAAGAATAAACATAGTTAAAATGTCCATATTACCTAAAGCAATCTACAGATTCAATGCAATCCCAATCAGAATCCCAATGACATTCTTCACGGAAATAGAACAAAGAATCCTAAAATTTATATGGAACCTCAAAAGACCCCAAATAGCCAAAGCAATCCTGAGAAAAAAGAACAAAGCTGGAGGTATCACACTCCCTGACTTCAAAATATACTACAAAGCTATAGTAATCAAAACAGCATAGTACTGGCACAAAAACAGACACATAGACCAATGGAACAGAATTGAAAGCCCAGAAATAAAACCACACATCTTCGAAAAAAGAGCCAAGAATATACAATGGAGAAAGGAAAGTCTCTTCAATAAATGGTGTTGGGAAAACTGGACAGCCACATGCAAAAGAATGAAAGTAGACGATTATCCTACACCATACACAAAAATTAACTCAAAATGGATTAAAGACCTGAAACCATAAAACTCTTAGAAGAAAATAGGCAGTACACTCTTTGACATCGGTCTTAGCAGCATCTTTTTGAATACCATGTCTACTCAGGCAAGGGAAACAAAAGAAAAAATAAACAAATGGGACTACATCAGATTAAAAAGCTTCTGCACAGCAAAAGAAACCATCAACAAAATGAAAAGACAACCCACCAAGTGGGAGAAAATACTTGCAAATCATATATCTGAACAGGGGTTAATTTCCAAAATATATAAAGATCTCATATAACTTGACAAAAAAAAATGAACAACCCAATCAAAAAATGGGCAGAGGATATGAACTGACATTTTTCCAAAGAAGATATACAGATGGCCAACAGGCACATGAAAAGATGTTCAACATCATTAATTATTAGGGAAATGCAAATCAAAACTACAATGAGATATCACTTTACATCTATCAGAACAGCTATAATTAGCAAGACAAAAAATAACAAAGGTTGGAGAGCATGTGGAGAAAAGGGAACCCTCATACACTGCTGGTGGGAATGCAAACTGGTGCAGCCACTACAGAAAACAGTATGGAGATTTCTCAAAAAATTAAAAATAGAAATACCACATGATCCAGCTATCCCACTACTGAGTATTTATCCAAAGAACTTGTAATCAACAATTCAGAGAGATTTATGCACCCCTATGTTCACTGCAGCATTATTCACAATAGCCAAGATGTGGAAGTAACCCAAGTGCTCATCAACTGATGAATGGATAAAGAAGATGTGGTATATATGCATACAATGGAATACTACTCAGCCATAAAAAAAAGACAAAATCGTCCCATTTGCAACAACATGGATAGACCTTGAGGGTATTATGCTAAGCGAAATAAGTCAGACAGAGAAAGATAAATACCGTATGATTTCACCCATATGTGGAAGATAAACAAACACATAGATAAGGAGAACGGATTAGTGGTTACCAGAGGAGAAGGGGGTGGAGGGAGGGCAAAAGGGATAAAGGGGCACATACGTATGGTGATGGATGGAAACTAGACTATGATGCAGTCTATACAGAAACTGAAATATAATCATGTACACCTGAAATTACACAATGGTATAAGCCAATATGACCTCAATAAACAAAAAAAAGACTAAGTGAAAAAAAAAAACTGGATGATAGCACACAAAAACAGAAAACTATGGACCAATTTCACTTATGAATATAGATGTAAAATTCCTAAATAAAATAAGAGCAAAAAAATTAAAACCAGTAGAGTTTTAAAAGAATAATGTCATGTCCAAGAAATGGCTAAGTAATGAGGCAAATTTTTAAACTTCCCAGTGTCTCATTTTCCTCATCTGTAAAACAATATGGTAATCATACAGTAGTAGCTATCTCATAGGGTTGTGGTGTTGAGTTGAACATAAAGAACTAAGAACACTGACTGGAAATGTTAATGCTTAATAAATGTCAATTATCAACATTATCTTCATCACCACTACTACCACTACTGGAGTGGAAGGATGGTTCAACTTTAGGAAAAGAGAAAAACCATGATCACCTTAATTGCTGTCAAAAAAGTCTTTCATAAAACTCAACTCATTTCTTTTAAAAATACTTAGCCATCTAGAAACATAAGTAAGCCTGATATGTACCCAAAAAACTACAACAAATATCATTCTTGAACAATATCTATTATCACTGCTTTTACTCACTACTTTTTCTGGATGTCCTAGCCAATGCAATAAGTCAAGAACAAGCAACAAGAGATATAAATATTAGAAAATAAGAGGCAAAACTCTCTCTTATTTGCAGATTTTTTGCAGATAATCTGAAAATCTGAGGCATGACAATCAATTGGGAAAACTATCAGAATTAACAGAAAAAATTCAGGACAAGCATTGAAACTGAGTGTTTAGTGAGATGGCCTGATACAAAAATAACATAAAATCTGAGCCTCAGAATTTACATCAATAAAATAGAGACTATGATATTGTAAACATAAAATAAAACAATAAATGCAAATACAGTATTTAGCAAAATGCTTCTCATATAGTATGCCCTTAATAAATAAATCATTATGGGAACTCAGTCATTTATTTGAAAAGCTTGCTCTGGAAATAATATATTTATATATAATATGCAATAATTTTGTTTAGATTTGGTTGTCTAACAGAGGACATTATTTTCTTATAGCTTTGTTTCTCTAAATAAACAGAATATTTATGACAATAAACAATCAGCCTTGTTACATAGTTCAGATCATATGCTCAAGGCATTTTGCTGCCATCTGGTGAGGGTTTATCTAAAAAATGCAGTCAAGTTTTGAAAGCTCTTCAAAATACAAACTGCAAACCTGAAACCCTGAATTATAGTAGGTCTCATGGCACTTTACGCCCAGAGACAAACACTGACCTTACAATCTCGGGAAATTCAGTTACTAATTAAAGACAGAAATTTGAGAGCCAAACTTACCAGCAACTTTAGAAAATACTTAAAGGAAAACTATCTTTTGCTTCCGCTTACTTGCCACATTCCAAAACCTCAGCCAGAAGAGACATGGCTAACAGGTCATCCAGCAAAAGGTATAATTATTCTGGGGTGGGAAAGACGATGTGAAGAATAAGGGAAATCTCCTTGAAGTGGGCTTTGTGATGTAAGGGCAAAAAGCATGGGCTCTGGAGCTAAGAAGACCTGGATGTGATTCCCACCATCGTCGTCACTTACCAACCATGTGACCCAAAGCAAGTTTCTGATCCTCAATGCATTTTCTCGTCTGTAAAATGTGAATAGCACCTACTCGGCAAGGTTACTAGGGGAAAATGTAAAGTTCAGTCTGTTCTGCTCCAAAGCACATTTCTGTAACAAAAACTAGCTCTCACATGACTAGCATACAGGGGAATGATGCCATTATTATGCAAAAGTTGCAATAGTTCGTACATAATTTTTCCAGAATGTTAATGCTTTGCACCACCAACTAACAGCATCTGAATTTAAGTACACAAAGGTGACTGGATGCAGCAAACTAAGGAGTACAAGCATATGATCCATATTGTACGTGATACCCACCTGCTCCACATTCTTCCTCTTGGCCACAGCTCTGTCATGGAAATAACTAATGGGAGGTTTCCCCCAATATCTGTGCATTTTGCCCTTATCTTCACAACTCAGAACCCATGTGGCTTCTCTACATCCCCTTCATCAAGTTACCTTCACCCTTGTAGACTAAAGTCCTAAATTCATTGAGATATTTCTTTATTCATTATGAGTTCAGCATGTCTCTTTATGTCTTACAACAGTTTTTTCATTAGGATCATTTTTGCATTTGTTATTGCCATTGTTACAAAGCTGTAATGGTTTTGAGAGGTCTGCTCCAACCCTATTTTTCCACATAAATTGTTATTTTCAGTGCCTGATTTTGTACAGTGTGAGGATTTTCAGTATGTGGCATTATAGCAGATGCACCTAACTTAGCCGACCCCCCAAAATAGGAGCTCTCTTCCCTCTCCTCCAGAAACAGAAATAAAATGATGCAATAATAATAACAGCTCATTTTGTTTAGTATTTACCACGTATCAGACACCTCTCTAAGTGCTCTCTATATATTGCTGTTTCATTAAATCTAAGCCATCATCAATTTTCAGATGCATCATGATTTTATGTACTACTAAGAAAGAAAAAACCGTGCCATTTAAACTATAGCACAATGCTTTTTTATCACACTGAATTTTTACTGAATAGGTACTGAAAGAGCTGATTTAGATTTTTAATATACATTACTCCTTTGCCTATATTGAAAGGAAATAAATTTGTGAAGTGAATTAATAAATGAAACAAATATGTAAAGGTAGTCCTAAAACTCCTTTATATTCAGAATCTGACTCTTCTGAATTACTCTTGACTCAGAGTTGTCAATTCACATATTTACATACAATTTACAATTTACTGCCCTCTGTACCATTATGAGCATTAGGATACAGCATTTCTTAAAAGGTGCCATATGAACTAAAAGCCATTTGGTGCTGGGCTTTGACTTCAGTTTTGCAACTACGTATACCCAGCTTACTGTGGCTCCCTCTTCAGGAATGTTGCTAAGTACATTTGATTTACTATCTTCACAATCCCTCCCACAACCATTTCATTCCTGGGAGTTAAAATAGTGCTCCACTATCATCTCCAAGATTTTCTTCCAACCCGCTGATGCCCTTTCTGCAAGTTTTGATGCTTAAGATTTTGATGTTTGCACACGCACAGGCAATGACTTTATCACCACTGCTGCCTGGCGAACAAGGATTATAAGCTGTCATCAAACTCCAAAAAATATTCCTTTTTCAAAGATATCTAAAACATAAAAAAATGTGCATTGAAAAAAGTTAATAAAATAGGTAACATATTTAATCCTTACAACAACCCAATGACATAGGTACCATTATATCTTCCTTTTATAAATGAACTAAAACAGAGAGATGTTAAGTAACTTGCCCAGGATCACAGAGTTAATCAGTGTACAGCTGGGGTTCAAATCCAGGAGTCTGGCTCCAGAGCCTATACAGGTGATACTAACCAGAGCAGCCCTCTGCTTCAGGGCACTACTCCTATTTCATCAAAGCTTTCTTCTAAAATACCCAAGAAGCAACATTTACACTCTTCTCCTAAGGCAAGCTACATGGTACAGATCATAATCAGAAAACCTCAAGGCCTGCTGCCAGGTTT